CTAAACAATGAGCCGTTTTAGAAGCTGTTTGAGTTATAATGTAACCTTGAAATATACCGCGCGCTTGTGGATATAGGTCTGCTGTTTGATTCAGCAATATCTTGCATTTTTCATGATATGTATAACTGAGTCTCTCGCCCACTCTCTTCGAAAATAAACAAAACCAAAACAGGCCAGAAAAAAGCGGGTGTCGACGAAATCTGTAATGGTCTATTTCCCCTTCGTTGATAAGCGCAAAAATTAATCATCAACAAATGGTTAAAAGGAAGTCAGTAAATAATGGTCATGTTTGATGTTATGTGATATTTTTCGAAACACACTTTATCGCTAACTTTCGAGTGTGAAACTGTTGAGCGCTTTCCAATATTATTACTACCGTAATTTAAGAATATAAAATTGCTTTTGCCATTCAATTAGTTGCATAGTCAACAGAGGTATCCTTCAGCCAATTATTTTGACGATTACAGTGCCAAATTGAATCCAGAGAAATTATGATTTTTTGGGAGTGGTTATTTACGTGCGAGAGCTAAAAGATAAATTATGTTAAAATAGGTGCAGAGGTGATTGTTTCCTCTCAGGGGTGTATAATTGGCACGAATAAAGTATATGGCCAGAATAAATGGACAAGCTGTTTCCGCTACATTCCTATTTTTATATCATAAAAAGGTTCTCTGGTTGCGATGGAAGGAGGTCCAATCATCAAACACCAAAAAACTATCCCGGTGAAAACTCGTGTAGAATCTTAAATCATTTCTGTTGTAATGAAAAGGGATCAGGGCCTCTCTCTCCCCTCCCTCGTGTGTCATGAATTCGAAAGTCAAAGGAAACACTGACCTTTAAAATGAGATGTTACGTGTTGATACATGGTCAAATTCATTTAATAAATCAATAATTTTTTCATAGAGTGGAGAGAGACTTTGGTTCAATATAGATCTGCCGTAACAAAAATTTTGGGGTGAATGGAATAAATGATAAATAAAAGCATTATTAGATGATCAGGTAAAAAATTACATCTACGAAATGAGCGTTGCAAATGGTTTTATAGGTGAAGCGTGCATGATTAAGCTCTAATTTGATACGCTTACGTGCCGTGTAAATGTTACAAAAAGGCAAGATAAGGTGGAATTTAAAGTTTACCCCTTTGAATTCGTGGACGAGTGACGCGTGAATTTGTGGTCGAGTGAAGCGTGAATTTTTTCCACAATCGTGCGTGAAAAGGGATCAGGGCCCTCCGCTCCCCTCGCCCCAACTTCCCCTCACACACACCTTTAATGAATTTTTGTGTACCATTTTCATTGAGACTGAGTTGGAATTCGGAGTGTAAGTTGTTTTTGATTTACTCCGGAGAACCTAAAGAAAACATCAAGGGAAAGAAAGACAACCAAACACTGAAAAACCCATAAAAGAATCGAACCCAGGCTACATCGGTGAGAGGTGAGTGCACAAGTGATTTATCAGTGCTCCGGCGCCCCACCCCACTGGCCGGCTTTATCAATTTACGTCAGTCATCCATATACCATCCTTAAACTGTCAATAAAGGTCAAACCACTGAGTTCGGTCAGTCTTGCATTCCTTTTTTAAATGATATTGCATCCCACTGGGAACTTAACACAGCCGATATCTCAAATTGATAAATTTTCCCGAACATGAGCACACTTCACTCAAAGAGGAATTAGTTATTTCTCTCATCAAACTTGTCAAAGCTAACACCTGTAATGGCAAAATTCCCGTTTCCTGCCGACTGACCGAACATTCTAGAGAAAATTTTCCTTACAGTACGTCATAAGCGAATCACTAGGCTAATTCACGAGTCATAGGGATGGTTATTTACACGAGGTCTAGTCCAAAACGCGGTTTTGCGTAAGCAATGGGCCCCAGGAATTCTCTGTAAGAGAGTTGATTTGATTAAATGAATGTCCTTCCACGAATAGCTTTCGGCCCTCTTGACACTATTTAAAAAAATAATTGTTTAAATAAAAGGCTAAAGGTTCGGCTAAATTGAAGATGGCTTAGAACGCGGTTTTGTTAAACGACGCCGGGCTAAACTTTGTTCAAATAACTAGCCCTAAAACTCCATTAGAGCACAAGTGAACCAGGTTAAAGCCGAATAAAAAAAGTAGAGTTAAATGAACGAAGATAACAGCTCAGTGGTATACTAAACTACTAACTCTGTTTGGAATCCAATTACATCGAAAAGCTAAGAAACCCGGAGAGCCCAAGTATCACAAGACTATCACAATCGAAAAAAAAAAAAAAATACTCATCAACTTCAAACTTTTTGGGGTGTCAAGCTTGAGTGAATGACTTAAAATAAAAAAAAAAACAAAAAAAAAAAACAGAAACTGCGCGCAAGTAGGTCGTCTTCTTCGATTTGTTGACACTTATTCGTTATTTCATAACGTAATGCTGCTACTAGGACCCCAGTCCTCTTGGCTAATACTGCACCCTTAAAACTCTCATTTGCTGGGTGAGACCAGCGGGAAACATTGACATTCTACAAAAGCAGCCCGTAAAAAATATTTTTAGAGGAAAAAATATACGTAATTGTAGTAATAGATGATTAATTTACCACAACCAAGGGAACTCTTGCAACTGTGGAGAACAACAATTAAGTAAGATCCAATGGTCGGGTGGGTGAAATTCCAATGTTTTAGCTGTTGATGTAGTTTTCAACTGGGCGTCGATTGGTGTTTTCCGGGATTATTGTGGTTTTTCTCCACTACGTTCTGTGATTGGTCAGGAAAACTTACAGTACTTTCTAAGCCAATCAGATGCAAAACTTTTAAAGCCAATCGTCATTTGGCTACCTTCTGACAAGATCCTTCAATTCGTTTTTCGTGATATCTAACCGTTATTCTGATTAGCTGTCGTCATAACTAGTTGGCTTTATTAAACACCCACGATAAGCAACACACCCTGAATTGATTTACACGAAAGGAGAAGCTCTTGGGCATGAAAACTGTTATTTTTTTGTAATGCCCTACGGTAGGAAGCCTAATAAAGTATGACGGGGTAAGCTGAGTTGCCCCTGCCGGCTCTGAGTCCTCTTTCATATCATCAGTGATATTAATAAGTTGTTATCTTTAAGCCTGAAGTGGGATTTAGATGAGTAAATTTTTTTTTTATTTAATTAGGCTATTGTTCCTAAAATGCAGGTAGAAATTAAAGACAAGAGCAGCCACATTTATGTTTGACCTTTACTTTCACTAAGCTATATAATAGTTCGCACGTGATTTGTCCGCCAAACATCTGAGATCCGTTTGCTTCCTGTATGGCAATTCTCGTCACTCGTGAATATAGGGGTTAGAAGTTCAACCACCGTCATGTTAAGTTAAGATGGTAAGAGCAAATTTTACAAATTGTTTGATAATTCTGAAGTCTCGTGGAGCCGTTTCGACAAAGTTCTTTCATTTTCCTACCTTTTGGAGTTCCATGTACTGAAAAGGCTACATCCTGGTAAGTTTTGGACAAACGAAGCCCGAAAACACAGCAAAATTTTACAAGTGCGTCAGTATTGATCAGCAATTTTCAGAACGTAGTCGTTTGCCCTTGCATTTGTCTTATTAGTCTAAACTATATCTATATTTGAATTCACTGCTTTCGCAAAGGGCGTCCAGCAGAACGTGGTGTGTAAAGGTATCTCATTGTAGTTAAAACACAGTTTCACCTGATTTATCTTACCATAAGTTTGCTCGCGGTTTCATTTGCGTAAGCTCATTAAGACGTCCGCAGTCGATTAATTAGATTATGGGAAAGTCTAAAAAAAAAGAAAAAGATCTTAACCTCTGGTGCAACAATCGCGATAGACTGCCTGTGGAGATTCGCTTCGTACTTGATCATCATCCGCCCACACCGCATGTTAAGACCTATACGGGGGGGGGGGACTCCCATATGAAACAGATGGGGATGCCCGTCGGAAATTTTGAATTTAACTGCTAAAGGAGACCATCTGGGCGTGGCTAAAGCTTTCTGTGACCCCTAAAGGAGACCAATCTGGGCGTGGCTTAAGCAAATTTTGACCCCCAAAAGAGACCGCTATAATGCTCTCCACTATTTGTAGAAATCTTTGATTAATAATCACAGAGGTAATACGGTAAACAAAACAAGTTAAAAAGAAAATTTGACTTCTGTTTCTCTTCGCGTAATTCTGTGTTTCTTCGCGGAACCCTAAACGAGGCCTAACCCTTGGCGGCTTAAAATATTGGCGCTTTGCCCAGGACAACCCTAAGCGAGACCAAAATCCAAAATTTACACCCCTAAGCGAGACGACGAGCATCCCCGTCTGTTTCATATAAGAGTCCCAAACTTTCAGGAGTGACAAATAAGAAAATTCTCCTCATACTTTCAATACATTTCCAAGCAGAAAGGTGAAATGAAAAAACAAAAATATTAGGGAACATCGTTTGATGTAAAACCAAATTCTCAGAGCTAAAATCATTTCAAAGTTAAGCCAAAAAAAATGACTGTTCATATTAAGATCTTAAGAGTGGCAGGGTAAAAACTAAACCAGCCTCTAAGGAATTACTGAAATTCCAAGTTTCTCTCCAGGATGATCACTCCTTTGGCTGCCACCCTTGTAATGTGCTGCTGCAAAAGTACGAACGAAAGAAACTTCGAATAAAAGAACGTCAAGCGTAATATAACCAGACCCTAGTTAACCAGCCGGTAGATTAAATCTCTTGGTTACTATCACAAAAATGTTGAAATCATCCCTTGTGTTAATTGTTGACCTTTGCAATGACAATGGTTTGAAAATTAACGCTTAAAAATTGAGGTGCTAGACGTTTTTATATTGTTATTCGCTGATTTAGTATCTGTTAGTTAATTAATAATTAGTGCTCACACCTTGGGAGAACCTTCTCGTAAGATATTCTTCAGCTAAGCATTACACCCGGCAAACTCTCCATCTTTTAAAATACCGACAAACAGATCAGGCTGGATTTAGATAGATGTTAGCTGTTCGACACACCGCCATGACGAACACCCCACCCCACCCCTGAATGTTCTTCCCGTTTCAGTCGATGGAGATCTGGCACTGCTTCTTCCGCGACCCTCCGCAGCCACATTTCGCAAACTGGGTAAGATTTCTAAACTACTTTTTTTTTTTCACTTTAGTGATTTTATAAGACATGATCTACCTGATGTAACCTATTTATTACTTGGTAAGTGTCAGGTTTCTTTTTCAGGTATTCCTATCGTAGCACAATTTCTGCACTTTTCCTCCAGAACCTTTTCTAGGCGACCCATCATGGCACTTGAACAAGTATCCAGTGCAAAATGTTTTGGCGGATTGCAGAAGGTTTTCAAGCACAAAAGGTCTGCAGTTCTTGTTCTTTAAATTTTTTTATCTTAATCTTAATCTTTCTTGATTTTGTTCTGTTTAGTAACCCTAGCATCGTGGGGAAATTCAGTGTTCCAGATTTCATGCGTCCCGAATATTCGAAATCTCCTAAGCAAAAAATGTTATACAAATGTCCTACAATGATTCTTTTGCTCCCAATATCAATTTTAAAAACTCTCCTTGGTGATTGCCATCCATTTCTTTGTGTTTTGACCCATAGATTTGGGTGCCAAATCGTGATAACCTCTGTTTAAATCCTTCATTCTCCCCAGGAAATCAGTAGAGTGCATGCGTTACTAGAAGTTGACGGTGTTAGGAGAAGTTTCATTTTGATGAGCTGTGGGTGTGAAAGTGAACAAATGATTTCTTATAATATGGTTGAGCTAATTTGCTTTTTTATTGAAATAAAGCTGTGGAGGGTTACAAGTAGGTTTATATTGTTTTTGTGACCTTATGGAATAAGTTTGTTGATGCATTAATTAAAATTTTTGTTTTTTAGTTCAGAACTGAAGTGTGAAATGAAATTTGCCGTGTATGTCCCTCCTCAGGCGGAGAAAGAAAAAGTCCCAGTGTTATATTGGCTATCAGGTGCTCATAGTTTTGGTTGATGGTCTTTATTTATAATGTATGGTGGGAGAGTGACCTGGAAATTACAAGACAGGTCCCACTTAGAATTATGCTGGTGGGTAACTATTCTTGGTCTAGCACCATGTTCAGGGATGAATTCCTATGCACCTTTTTGCCCTTTGCTACTGAAACTGGGATCGGATCTCTGGCAAGAAGGGGGAGGTAAGGGATGAGAAACAATGCTTCTTTGTGCCACATAGTACTGGAACTTGAATGAGCTTAGGGAGAATGGGGGCAATGCTGCTATGGTCTGACATTCCATGCAGGGATGAGAAGCCATTAACTCAGGTGCTGTACCATTCTTGTTGCTCCATGTTACTGAAACTAGGATAACCTGTTGCAGAGTGGGTCATCTGGCTTGTAAGCTGCTCACAAGCTTTATTATCACCTGTTTATAAAGAAAAGTAGTTATTAGCTAATTCTATGGTTCAAATCCCGTACAGGCCTGAATTTTTTTCAGGTCTGATTTTCACTTTTGCTTAATTAAATAGTGCTCTTTACTGCAAGGATCGCGCACTTGTGTATTTGTAAATACATTTCTATAACCTCAGTTCAGATATATGAATTTCGTATATTTGTTGTGTTTGATTTATCATCTTACGGGTTTATGTCGAATTAATTTGATGACCTGCTCCCAGTTGGCTTGTTAGCTCAATTGGTAGAGCGCTGCACCAGTATTGCAGAGGTCAGTGGTTTGAATCCCATACAGGCCTGAATTTTTTCAGGTCTGATTTTCACTATTGCATAGTGCTCTTTACTGCGAGGATCATGCACAAATGCGTTTCTATAACCGCAGTTCAGATATATGAATTTCATGTATTCGTTGTGTTTGATTTATCATCTTACCGGTTTATGTCGGATTAATTTGATGACCTGCTCCCAGTTGGCTTGTTAGCTCAATTGGTAGAGCGCTGCACTAGTATTGCAGAGGTGACAGTGGTTCAAATCCCGTACAGGCCTGAATTTTTTCAGGTCTGATTTTCACTACTGCATAAATAGTGCTCTTTACTGTGAGTATTGTGCACAAATATGTTTCTATAACCGCAGTTCAGATATATAAATTTCATATATTTGTTGTGTCTATGTGTTGTGTTTGACCACAAAACACATCAACACAGGTTTTAGTAGTAAGATAGAGGACCAGACTTGTTACTAGATAATTTAAGAAACCAAAATTAAAATAAAAGTGGTAGAACTCTTAATTGTCTTTTGATGTTATTTTGCTTTCTTTGTGGCATCATATTTGCTTTTGGTTAATTTAGGTCTAACATGCACAGAGCAAAACTTCATCACAAAGGCTGGTGCTCAACGCACTGCATCAGAACTGGGTGTGCTGATCGTGGCTCCTGACACAAGCCCACGTAAGTTTATTCTTTGTTAGTTTGACAATGAGATAGAATGATGTGAAGGTGTAGTCTGATCGTCCGGGTGAGTGTAGTCCTGAGAAGGACTGTTGTTGGTGGTAGTGACTGACGTTTCGACAACCTGTGTGGAAGTCATCATCAGAGTCAAGTAAATGATTGTTTTCAGTAGAGATAGAATGATGTTGAACATTTCAGAGTCAATAGCACAGGACAACAATGAAAAACCTGTCCTAGCTAACCACCTCCCAGTTAGCTCAATGGATAGAGCGCTGGACTATTGTGTGGGAGGTCGAGGGTTCGAGCCCCGGCCGGACCAACACTCAGGGTCTTAAAATAATTGAGAAGAATATACTACCTTTCTATAACATCAAGAAATGATTAGATATTCTAGTCTTCTCGGATAGGGACGAATATATGGAGGTCCCGTCTCCTGCAGGGTTAGGGGCAGGAGACATTAATTTCCCACACATGAGATTACTGTGTGATGGATGTCCTCCCTTAGGGTGGGATGGGTGGGTAACAGGACCCCCGTTGATACCAGTGTTTACTACACTGAAGGGGCTATCCTGTATAAATATAGATGTCTACTTCTACTTCTAGTGATGTATTGAACAATTGGCAGGCTCTGCTGAGCAAGCTTCAGAGAACTTGTTTGTGAGTTAGGCCTCATAAAAGCTTTGCAATAAGTGGGGAAAGAAGGTAAATTTGAGTAAAGAAAGATACATTATAAGGAACAATTACCATGGGAATGAAAGGAGGATACTCATTTTGATAACTTTGTTTTTTTTTATGTACAGAGTTGGCAGACAGTTAACATGAAACTCTTGTTTCTCATAGGAGCATGTGGCATTGAAGGTGAAGATGATAGCTATGACTTTGGGACTGGTGCTGGCTTTTACATTGATGCAACTGAGGAAAAGTGGAAAACAAACTACAGAATGTACTCATATATCACAAAAGAGGTTAGTGCAGTACTTAGGAGCTGTGAAGGTAGCAATAATTCTCATTCTCAATCTCATTCTTAGGTCTATAAGACATAGCAAGTGAGTTAACAATGTCAGACAAACATGTGTTTTGTTTATCAGAACTCAATGCAGCGAGCCCAGGCTTTCAAAAGGGAGATATTAACATTATAGACTCAGCCAAGTCGGGGCACAGACATCAAGCTTTTGGCTAAATATTGGGGTATTTTTTTGTAACTGCAGCTTCCAGCTTTGATTGACAGTAACTTTCCAGTTCTGTCAGGCAAGCAGTCCATTTTTGGCCACAGGTGAACTTAATTTGATACTTAATTTTCACAGTCTGATGATCCAACAACTTGAATCATTATTCTTTTTGTATATTTCTGCACGCTGTTCTATTCCAGGGAAAACCAATACCTCTTTGAGAGTCAATTAGTATTCCAAGGTGGTTGGGGATGGGCCAAATCAATGGAGTGTATGTTTAGGACCTGGGGAGAGTTTGAGGAATTGAAACCAAAATACAGTGTATAGATGGGATTTAAAAGTTAACAGATATCATTTTTTTGTGTCCCCACATTAGTATGGGATATCTCCCAAACTAGAAGGTTCTTTGACATGTTAATAAAGTTTCTATAGATCTATCTATCTATTGCCAAACAGACATTCTTCTAGGCAGCATTTTTATCAAATAAAAGTGACTTTCAGAGGAATAGATTGCATTTTTAAAAATACCCTTGGCTCATGCCTTAACAATTTTAAAACTTTTTTCATGTTTTTTAATCGACTTATCAAAAGGGATATTACTCTGTGCCTTACTTATTGTTTTAATAATAAGTACTTTTAATTTTTTTCATTTTTGGCTATGTTTTATTTGGTGACAACTTCTTTGTTTTACTGTCTTACTTTAGCATGGGTGGCCATGGGGCTTTAATATGCTTCCTCAAAAACCCTGGATTTTACAAGGTAGGCCACAACAGTTCCCTGCAATTCAGTGTTAGTAACAGTCAAAGATCCTCTTAATGCTTCTTTACATGGACCATCAAAGTTCTGGGTTATATTAAGAAATTGCTGGAAAACAAGTGAGTCACAAAATGTGAAATACTTAAAGTTCTTGGGAAATTGAAATTGAATGCAGTGGGTAGCAAAAGAGAAGGCATTAGTTGCGCAGCCAATAACATCTAATTTTTTTTTTGTGACGTAATATTAACTTACTTAACCAGGGGTTTCAAAAACGTTTTCCTTTTACCTTTCGCTCCCAAGATCTCATTGGTAATTCTCTTTACAGTCTGCCATACAATTCGTGTGATGTTGGTTCAGAGAATTTGGTATTGGATCAACTAATATTTAATCCCCTAATTAATATTTTTCTTTCTTCTTAACACTTGTCTGCTTGATATTGTGTTGATAAATGTAGGGAGAAATTATGTCGTGGTCACTTATGGGAGTCAAAGGGTTGTGGTTTAATAAGCAGCTGTGTGCAAAAAGGGGTTCTATCATAAAACCCTAACATGAGAACCTGCACACAGCCTCAACAGACAGCTATTAGAAGTCTTATAGGCAGTAATAGACTGCTGGTAGCAGGCTTTTATTGAAACCCCTGCTTTACCTGCTAGCATTTCAAAACAATAGAATTACTGTTGAATCTCATTGACCTTCACAGTCTGTTTCTGCCTTTGCACCCATCTGCAATCCAGTGCAAGGTGCTTGGGGTCAAAAGGCCTTCACTGGATATTTGGGAGGCAACCAGGAAGCATGGAAGGTAACCATGGATTCTGCTATCACAGGGCTTGCCCTTTAATTTGCACAATTCTTCCTTTTCCTTGTGCTACATTACGACATGAATTTTTTCATACGGAGAATTTGGTGTCCACTTCATGAACACCTACATCTAGCTGATAAAAAAAATGTTTAATCTCATCACTCATTTACAAGATATTAACCATTTATTAGAATTTGAGGGTCAAAGCATGTAACTTGTAAAAACTTGCACAACCCTTTATGTTATAAATATGTATCTTTCCTGGTAAAAGTTGTCAAATTTGTTTGTTGTGTGAGAGTGGGACATAAAGAAGAGTCCCTGAAAAGGATTTGAATCTTAAACCCTCTGGGTTCCATCACTGAGCTCCAGGGCTGGGTTGTTCAAAGCTGGATTAACCTTTTACACCCTAACATCAGTATGCATATTCTCCATACTGTTCTCTACACATTTTGTAAGGTTCTGACAAAGAGAATTTGTTTAACAATCAAGAACTTCTTCAGTTGGTGATCATTTCCTTTATTCTCCTGACCTTAATGTGTGATTCAGGGGTGATATTGTAAGGAGAAATTAGATGCTGGTCACTCTTGGAGGTTAAAGGGTAAACATAATCCAGGGTTAATGTGAAATTTCATTTCAGATCTGAAAGCTTAAAAGAAAATTCATTATAGTTCTTCTTGTCTACAATTTGATTATTGAATGCTCTAAAAAGAAGAGAAGTAATTATTCAAAAAAGGCTTTTGAACAAAGGAATAAAGAAACCTGGATTAAAATTAAACCCAGGGTCAGGGCTAATTGACATTTAAACAACTACCAGTTAGCCCTTAGGACTTGTGGAAAGATCCACCATTTCCTGTTTTAAAAGCAATTTTAGATTAAGAGTCCATGTTGTTGAAATGTTGATAGGTATCTTGAATAAAATGTATAAATGTGTTTATTTATATTCCACATATTTGTTAGGAGTATGATGCTACCGAACTAGTGAAAGGTTATGAGGGTCCCCCACCAGACATACTCATTGATCAGGTACCAAAATGATTATAAACTGATTTAAAAAAAGTGAAGCATACTTTAGATACATGTAATTAGTTTTCTTGTGGAGGTCTCACAGTCTAACTTGAAAATGAAAATAATTATAAGTGAAATACTTATTTTATGTTCCCTTTGAGGAGCAATATGTAAAATTATTTTAGGCTATTGAATAACATGTTTGTGAAGGGTGGGTTGGCCTAATGGTCCTAGGCTTGATTCTGGGTCAAAATGTCTGGCGTTTAGCTCCCTGCTAGTTATTAGAATTGAGCTCATGACCAAGACACTTAAATCTCACAGCTTTGCTCCATTCAGAAGTTTAAGGCAGTGGTGACAAACTGTAGTGGAGACCCAAGGAATTATTCAGAGTTAACACGCAATGGATTAAAATTCCCACCACAATGCTGAAATAAGAGTCAGTCTTACTAGCTGACTCTGAGGAATGATATTCAACTATCTTGACCCTCCACACCCTAAGATCAGTATGCATATTCTTCATACTGTTCTCTACACATTCCCTAAGGTGCTGACAAGGAGAATTTGTTTAACAATCAGAAGCTGCTGTAGATGGTGATCATTTCAATACAATACAAAACAATACAATACAATGTTCTTTATTTCAAGAGGGTAAATACATGATTAACCCAGCAAAGGGTTTTCTAACACATGGCCCTCTGTAAACCCACCCATCCCACCCAAGGGAGGACATCCATCACACAGTAATCTTGTGTGTGGGAAATTAACGTCTCCTACCCCAACCCTGCAGGAGACAGGACCTCCACTTATTTGTCCCTATGTGAGAAGACTAGAATATCTAACCATTTCTTGATGTTATAGAAAGGCAGCAAATTCTTCTCAATTATTTTAAGACCCTTAGTGTTTGTCTGGCTGGGGCTCGAACCCTCAACCTCCCGCACAACAGTCCAGCGCTCTATCCATTGAGCTAACCAGGAGGCAGTTTGCAAACTAATTTCCTCTATTTCCTATTTCCTCTATTACAAACTAATTTCCTCTATTTTCTTGATGTTAATAGTTGATTCGGGGGTGATGTTGTAAGGAGAAATTTGATGCCATTAAAGGGATAAGGAAAAAGTCTGCATCATGATCATATCCCAATGTTAATTTGCACAATATAAATATTAAATTATTATTATTATGATTTGCTTCTTGAGTGTTTGTTTCTTTTTCTTTTCCCTTAGGGTGTAGCTGATGAGTTTTACCCATCTCAACTGCTTCCAGAGAACTTTGTTGAGGCTTGTAGGTCAAAGAATGTACCAGTCACCTTGAGATTGCATGAGGTATACTATGTACTAACACATNCTGGGTCAAAATGTCTGGCGTTTAGCTCCCTGCTAGTTATTAGAATTGAGCTCATGACCAAGACACTTAAATCTCACAGCTTTGCTCCATTCAGAAGTTTAAGGCAGTGGTGACAAACTGTAGTGGAGACCCAAGGAATTATTCAGAGTTAACACGCAATGGATTAAAATTCCCACCACAATGCTGAAATAAGAGTCAGTCTTACTAGCTGACTCTGAGGAATGATATTCAACTATCTTGACCCTCCACACCCTAAGATCAGTATGCATATTCTTCATACTGTTCTCTACACATTCCCTAAGGTGCTGACAAGGAGAATTTGTTTAACAATCAGAAGCTGCTGTAGATGGTGATCATTTCAATACAATACAAAACAATACAATACAATGTTCTTTATTTCAAGAGGGTAAATACATGATTAACCCAGCAAAGGGTTTTCTAACACATGGCCCTCTGTAAACCCACCCATCCCACCCAAGGGAGGACATCCATCACACAGTAATCTTGTGTGTGGGAAATTAACGTCTCCTACCCCAACCCTGCAGGAGACAGGACCTCCACTTATTTGTCCCTATGTGAGAAGACTAGAATATCTAACCATTTCTTGATGTTATAGAAAGGCAGCAAATTCTTCTCAATTATTTTAAGACCCTTAGTGTTTGTCTGGCTGGGGCTCGAACCCTCAACCTCCCGCACAACAGTCCAGCGCTCTATCCATTGAGCTAACCAGGAGGCAGTTTGCAAACTAATTTCCTCTATTTCCTATTTCCTCTATTACAAACTAATTTCCTCTATTTTCTTGATGTTAATAGTTGATTCGGGGGTGATGTTGTAAGGAGAAATTTGATGCCATTAAAGGGATAAGGAAAAAGTCTGCATCATGATCATATCCCAATGTTAATTTGCACAATATAAATATTAAATTATTATTATTATGATTTGCTTCTTGAGTGTTTGTTTCTTTTTCTTTTCCCTTAGGGTGTAGCTGATGAGTTTTACCCATCTCAACTGCTTCCAGAGAACTTTGTTGAGGCTTGTAGGTCAAAGAATGTACCAGTCACCTTGAGATTGCATGAGGTATACTATGTACTAACACATGTTTTGATGTCTATAATTAGCAGACTAGGTGGAGATAAATGGAAAAATCTGACATCTTACTTTGGCAACAGGTTTCGTTGTTTTTGTGTATGCAATAACGATTTTTTTCTCTCTCCACAGGGCTACAATCACAGTTATTACTTTATTGCAACTTTTGTGGAGGATCACATCAGACATCATGCAAGATATCTCAAAGCCTAAAGAGATTGTGAAGGGAATGTCACACTCGTCCCGACAGAAGTGAAACTATGATATATTAGGCATCCTAGTTAGAATAAAGTGAAATGAAATTTTCATACAACTGCCAAGTTCACATGTATTGTCAAGATGCAAGGTCGTAGCCAAGGGGTCTGGGCACAGGGGTTGGAATCTATGAGCCTTCCTTCCTAAAGAGATGATTTACTAACTTAGAACAGACTCCCCTAAACAGGTGTCAACTACTACCGGCTCCATACAAACAACTCATTCATGACGTAAACAAATTAAACATTACAAACGAACCGAGCAGAACGACCTAACTTTACGGACGGATCTAAACAGACCAATCACGACCGACCTACGCCACTTGAGTCTTACAGCCAATAACATCACGGCAAAACTGACCAATCATTTTACACGAACTGAAATAAGAACATTCTACTGACAACAACTATTCAGTATTCACTTGACTCTGATGATGACTTCCGTACAGGTTGTCGAAACGTCAGTCACTACCACCGACAACAGTCTTTCTCAGGACTACACTCGGGCTTTCACATGTTACCCTCGGGTTCAAGCCATTTACTGCATTACGAGGTGGTTTATCGTTGTGAAATAAACTGGTTTGTCTGTATAATTAAAGTAAATTTATGATATTTTAAGAGGTTCCATCTGAAAATCTTCCTTACATCCCTTTATGGGAGGTCCGCAACTTTTCAACAACACATTAACCACGGATATAACCTCTTCAATGGCGTTTCCGACTATGGAAAATTCGGATGTTAAATTTATCTATTCGATGGAATATTGATTGCTCCTTTTAGTGGTTAGCCCGACATTGATTGTTCCCCTGCGATAATTCGTTCCAGTTGGGCCTATTTTCACTGATGCGACGGGGTTGGGGNGTCGCCCGTCTGAATTTCAAACTTTGTCTCGTCGCCATTTCCGAAGGTTCTGATGTCGCTGTCGCAATTTCATCAATGTCGTGCTCGAAGTCGCATTTTCATTTCCCTGATATCGGTGTTTCAACGCCATGTCGTTCGTCGGAATTTATCCTATCAGGGCCTCATCAATGCCTGGGAAAAAAATCACTCCAGATCACAATACGTATCATGTGCTGTGTTTCCGGCGTTTTGACATTCTCAACAACAAGGTCTGTTGTAAGTTCCCAACTTAATCAGATATTATGACAGTTCACGATATGAACAGTGGTGAATACGATAGTTCAAAGATCGGTTGTTATGCAAAACACCTTTTCTTGTGGGACCTTGGAAAGATGACCCTATAAAGAGAGGTTAATCGAGAAGTTCTGACCTTATCGATGGATGATATTTGGCAAATCACGAGGAGACCTATTCCGGATATCACGTGACTTGTCTCCAGCTTGATATCGTTTTCCCGCCAAAACTCCAACAAAGCTTCACTGATTAAAACACTAGGGAGGAGAGTTAAAGGCATTTCACGCTTTTTGCCTTCTTCTAAGCACAATTTTAAACGCTTGAGTAATTTTTTTTTTGCTGGAGTGACTTAACAAGGTAAGGACAGAACGATCTCTTTGGTGACCTTGGACATATTAGGTCGAAGGAACGGTAACAACGTCATGTAGTATTTTAGCTCGTTACAAGCCACAGCCGATCGATTCATACCGCCAAAACATCGCTACAGCTGAACAGTAAGTAACGCGTTTAAACGTTTTTCAAGTCTGTATCACGAATGGTGGTGCAAGTACTCGTAAACACGAGTCTCTGAGCTACAACAACTTGAACTCGTGTCCCTGGCCTGCATATCTAGTACGTAATTAAACAAGATGTCTGTGCGACCACAACGGGAGAACTCATGGTAGAATATATTGAGTTATTGTTAATTCCTTTCCCCGAATCATTCTTAAAGAGGAAAGGGATATCGAGAGGCATTAAAGTAAATTCGAATGGTCTTTTTTCCACATCAAAGGGCAACACTGGTTACATTAAACAACTGCATAGAAGAAACTTCATCAACACCCTGGTTATTCCTGAGGTGTTTGGCAATAAAGGTGTCTGGATAATCAACACAATTGGTGACTTTCATTCTTTTGAAAGAATATTTTTTCTTGATCACTACACCTTTACCATGATATTAACATTGCTGACAACACTGACGTTAGGTTCATTATTTGACATATTTACATCATCAACACTACTTGCAATACTCATATTACTTTCAGTATTATTTAGTTCTTATTAATTAACCGAGCAGGAGGTCTGTATGGGAGAATCTTGACCGAGGTCGCCAGTAGAGACCGAATGCAGTGAGGTCTGTACCAGCGACTGAGGTCAAGATTCTCCTATACAGACCGACCTAGCTCAGTTAATAAGATGTTTATTATATGGCTGTGTCTTTTATGCCAATTTTTTATATTCTTTGTACCTTTTTTTCTAGACCAGTCTAGATGCCGGTCTAGATGGGAAAATCTAGACCACTTTCAATATTGATTTCAGCCAATCAAATTCGTGAATTTGGTAGTTCCCAGTCCTTCTGAGACACAGCCATATAACAATATTGTTTACAGATGCAATTGTGTTATGAGTTACTTGAAATTACTTGAAAAGGGTGGAACCAGTTAATGTGGTTTAAACAATATATTTCCAAGAAACTATGACTTTATCGGAAGAGGCTCCTTTTCTGACAATGGGACATTTGTTACAATGGGAACCCTCCATTTTTATAACACAAATTTCAGTTTTTACAAGGAAAAACCAAATTTATAGGAATCAATTCATCTCCTTAAAAAATCTCAGCAGGTGCTGTTGAAGAGCAATGGAAAAGGACTTATGTCTGGTCTGTGGCAGTAGTGACATTTTGTCAGACAACTTGAGTAAAAATAATCTAAAGAGTGCATGAAGGGACGAGTTGTTTGTTAGGTGGATGGAACAAATCTGGTGGTACAGATATTCTGTCAAATTGTTGACTGTATTTTTCCTTTACACCCTTACACCATTTTGTATATTCTCCATACATTCCTAAGATGCTTCAAGGAGAATTTGTTTAGCAATCAAGAGCTTTTTTAGTTGGTAATCATTTTCTTTATTCTTACGACTTTAATCAAGGCTGTACTCTAAGAAAAATTGAAAGGAGCCCAGTGCTCAGAAACTGTAAAATCCAGGGTGCCCAGCATATGCTTTTTATGAAAACACTAAGATTCCTGAGTCACTCAGGAGCAAGAGTAAGGTGCCAGGGGCCACCTGGCACAGCTAGGCCGCAGCCCTGTTAATGTGTGATTTAGGGCCAATATTGATCGGAGAAACTAGATAAATCATTCTAAGGAGTCAAAGAGTTAAAAGACTCTGGTATTATTTGTCAGTCTTCAGTGACTGATCCTGGCTAAATAGAAACAACTGACCCCCCCCCCTCCCCCTCCTGCCAAATTCTTTATTTTGGTTTGGCTCAGATCCATGTCAGAGCTTTCTTTGGCAAATGTTGGTTATTGATGTGTCCCATATGCATACCTGTATCAGTGACAAATTATTCACATACCAAGCTACAAAGGTTGCAAATCCACATTTTACAAACTAAAAAGGAAATATCCAAGCATCAAGAGAAATGAAAAGAGATACAGGTACTCAGTTCTTTGATGAAAAACATAACAAAAGATGATACTTTGAGGGTTTTTGAGTTAAATGTTTACTCCTTTCAAAACTGACACACAGACTTAAGAACTTTCTATACTACTATGTCATGTTATGAGTCCTCTACTAGTTTACATGAATGAATGAATAAATGGATGAGCACTTCCAATAGAAGTTTTGAGAGCTAGCTAAAGTTACTCTCGGCTGCACTTCAAGCAATTATTGTACTTCTCTTGTTCTTCTCTCGTGCTCTCAAAACTTCCTCCATTCTTTATTGACCACTTTCGTAAATGGCTGCTGGATTAATATTCTTTTGTTTAAATTTAAATTAGCCCTTCTGGCCTTGCTTGAGATATGTATTCTTTTGAATTTTGTACTGGAGAACCAGGTCGGCAAGGCTAATTTAAATTTAACAAAAGAATATTACTCCAGCGGCCATTTATGAAAGTGGTCTATATCCTACCTGAACAAAACTTTTAAAACTTTTGTTAGTTTAAGAATCTACAGTTTGTAAGCTTTACAGTGACAAACAGTTTTCCATAGTTTCTCTTTGGCATGGGACAGTTTTTCCGGAAGGTACCCTATTTTGTTGACAGTAAACTTAACTTCTCTATCCACATGTCAAGGGTAGTGTTTTATCTGAGAATGACATAATCGGATTTGGTTCTTGCAGGAGTGAAGTCTCCCACTGCTGTGTTCCAGAATTATGGATTTAACTAGTCCCAGTGAGTGTGGCGATAAGCACGTTACTGATAAAGATCTTGTGAGTATGTATGGAGGTGTGGCATATGACCATGATAAAATGCCAAAAGTTCTTGCTGTGCACTTTTTAGCACATGAAAGAATGGATTCAGGTGTCAACAATGCAGAAAATCCACAAGGTTCCACAGTGGAGTTGATGACAAGGAACTGGCAGTCAGTTTTAATTAGAATCAGAAGCAAGCCGGAAGGACTTGGGGAATTAAGCAACCAGACATCATATATTGATCTGAAAGAACATTTAGAGTCAGAAACAAAAGTGAAGGGGGCTCAGGTGAGTCTATTGCCATAATGTACTAGCCTCTGCTACAATTTTTTTCTTTTGCATGTCATTTTATCAGTTCCAGTTACAATATGTAATACCTAATTGGCTTCTCTAGAACCCATCACACTGTTTTTCATTGTTCGTGTACATGCATGCTCACTATTTTGTGGGTAAAGATTGATAGACATTTTTATTTTAATTGCTAAGATAAAAATTTTTTTGTGTTTTGTTGTATGTTTGTACAATCTTGACTGTTACTCTGGACCTGCAACTTTAAAAAATTCATTCCTTTTTAAGCATATTTGTACCCTTATTATTTTTCAGTTGTTGGATTTTGGTACGGAGCCTATCATTCAAGGGAATTCACAAGCTTACAATTCGCTGTCCTCAACGTTGGCCGCGAGGGAAGTTTTTGAGGACAAATCGTCATATAATAAGACATTGATAAACGGCAATGGTAAAACCGATACGAAATGCTGGTTAAGCTGTGACAAGATTGCCGCTGGCCATAATCGAGCAGGCAAGTCACTATTGCGTCACTTGTTACGTAACAAGATTGAAGACAATTACAAGAGTTCAGTGGCTGTTGCAGAATTGTTCTCAGTTTCTGAAACATTGTCCTCTTCAGTTGATCTAAGTGCAAATTGTTTTACAGATTCTAACCTCAGGAAGCAGAACAGTAATAACTTGGAGACCCTTGGCTGGCGTAACTTTGGTGTGTTGTCCGAGAAAAACGATCAGAAATGCTCGATTGAGTTTTATACTGATAAGAATTCAAAGCTTTTTGCGGAGAAAACATCACCCGGCAATGACCGTCTTCAACGAAAAGTAGATGATAGCATCAAAACTGATAATACACCCACCTCTTCCTTGAAAACTCTTGATTTCCCTGTGAGCAAAGATATTGGAACTGTTGATCTTTCTGAGGTAGACAAAAATAATCAAAAGTCTTCCTCTGTTAGTGTTAAGTCTTTCTTAAAAGTAAATCCGTTAGGATGTGATGCAGAGAAACGTTGCACCGATTGCCTAATACCTCGCAAACGGCCACGCAAGTCGATTCCAAAGAAGCTCAATCCAGACAGAGAATATTTATATTCCGACCTCCATAGGACTTGCAGTGAAGAAACGCTAAGTGCCAATGAAATAATTCCAGAGCTGTCCCCTCAGCGGTGCACAACAGTGGCGTCTCCCGTCCGCGAAGATGAGTGTACTCCAATCATTTCTTCTAGACGAGACTCATGCAAGCCGTTAGTTTCTTTAGGGAAAGGACAGCAGAGTGAAACAGACATTTCTACTGTAATGGAAGAGCAAAAATCAACTGTTGTTTCCTTTGAAATGGAAGGGAAGGATGCAGCATCTTTTTCTGCTGAAAGGGAAGAACAGAGGTCACCAGTAGTTTCTACTGAAAAGGAAAAGAAGAGTGCTGTAGCAGTTTCTTTTCACAAAAGGCAGAATGCAACAGAACCTTCTCCTGAAAAGGAAATCCAGAGTATATCTAAAGTTTCTCCTGGGAAGAGGGACCTGTGTGAACCTTGTGTTTTTTCTGATAGCACGGGGTCTCATCGAGTATCTTGTGGAGGGACAAGAATAGTCTTCAGGAGGACTGGAGGTAATGATAGATGACGTAGGACGTGTGTACGGAAATGTCAGTGTGTATAGATAGTGTTGCAAGGGATCAAGGACTCTCAGTATGGTGATTAAATATTTCGAGCGTATTGTTTGAGTCAATGTGGAAATAACCTTCCATACACTAGCCCTGTTTCAGAACTATTTCTCTGCGAGTCTCCGGCGAGTCGGTTGCAGTAGTACCAGACTAAAACAACAAGAATACTAAAGAGCCAGGAAACTACAAATTAAGACAATGAAAATTTATCTTTTTAGAGTGCATTTAAATGCAGTGGCTTGACACCTATACCTAACCCTTTGAAGTTGCCAATCAAAAGTATGTAGATGAAACAAGGAAGCAATGAGAACTTTATATGAAAGGAAAACACACGCAAACAGTTTCAAGCGTGGGAAAACCCCAGTGTCTTAGTGGCGATATGTTCAGTTAGTTTTGCAGCTGATTGATGAGACGGTGTCGCAAGTGTTTCTGTTATAACAAATCAAAGAACGCGATAAAGCAAGATGGATGACTATTAGGTACCGGATGACGTTCGTCCACTCGTTATTCGCTTGTTGCGCCCAAATTTTTTAGGTTTTTTTCTTTTTGATCGCAGGTGTGTGGTCAGT